ATATATAGGTTAGCAAAGTCGAGACGCTAGCGACGCTGTCCTAGGGCACGCCTAAGTGTATCATCAACATCTCAGTCGGCGACAAACGCGACTGTATCATGTGAGTTCGTCACGTTTGTCGTCTTTGCCTTTGTACTCGACGGCGGCGACTGTGAACAACATTTGCACCTTTGCTTTTGCGGCGTCTTCGTGTCGCGATTCCTTTACGTGTGTGGTCGTGTTGCGGTTTAGATTGTCGAGCTGCGATTCTGTCTGCTCAGTCGTCATCTGCGGTTACCCTCTCTTCTGCGCAGCTTCGCCCCGACCTCTTTTGTCCGACTTGCAGCTCTTCTCCTTGTTGTGACTTGTTGTGATGGAGCTTCCTCCTTCGGTTGAACCCGGCAAACCCTCTTTTGCCCACGTTGTGGGTAATCTTCAGGGGGAGACGGCAGTTGTCTTCCCCTCAAGTTATAAGGAGAATTAAGGTTATAAGGAGAATCGTGATGGTACATGTGACTGTCCCTTTATTAAGAATGCAAGCATGAAGAGTGGGAAGACGGCATTCTTTTTCTCTGAATCAGAAATTTCAACCCTGACTGACAAATTCAAATTTTCTCTCATTGGAAAATTTCAGTGGGGACACCCAGTTATGAAAGTTATTAGGAAAAGATTTGATGACCTCAAATTAGCAGGAAAGTGGAAAGTGAGGCTCATGAATGGGAGACGTGTATTGATTCAGTTAACCGTGCCTGAGGACTACATTTGTATTTTCTCTAAAAAAAATATCTTAACATTGTTGGTAAACTAATGAAACTAATCAAGTGGTCTCTTGATTTTGACTCAATCATGAACCTCCTATTGTAATGGTATTGTTTAGTCTGTCTGGTCTCAAGTTGCATTTTTTTCATCATCAGGTTTTTTACTCTATTAGTGTCATACTTGGGGACCCTATGAAGTTAGTTCTACCCACTTTCAACCTTATCAGACATTCTATTGCCAAAATAATTGTGGAAAGAGATATTACTTTGTCTGATGTTACTAAGGTCTGGTTGGGCACAATGCATAATGGATATTGACAACAAATCGTCATGGAGCATAGACCTTCTCATTGTTCTCATTGTAAGATGTTTGGGCATACTCCTGATAAATGTCATAAGCTTCACCCTAATTTGAAATCTAAAGATCAAGTTAATAAGGATGGATCTAAGGATATATCTTTACCACTTGGAGAGAAAGCTACCACGGGACAGATTTTTGTGTCTGATTTTATTGCCCTTGTTGTTACTGTTACTGCGAGTGATGTGACACTGGCACCTTCAAACCCTATAGAAAACAATATTGATGGACTATTACATACAAATGATAGTGTTCATACTAATAATCAGGAGAGCCTCGTAGCTCCACTTTTTCAGGAAGTATCCGGTGTAGAGGCACTCATACTTCACATATACTAGAACCTATTGTGGGTACTATGGTTGGTATTCCTTCTGCTTCAGTTTTATCACCCCATCAGACTGATTCTTCGGATGAGGAATGGCAGGTCTATTCCAGGAGGAGGAAGAAGAATGGAGGTCGAATCCAACTCGGGAACATATTGGATGATACATTGGTTACTACT